ACTACTACTACTACTACTACTACTACTACTACTAACAACTACAACTACAACTACAACAACAACAACTACTACTACTGCTACTACTACTACTACTAACTAATAACTACTAACTACTAACTACTAACTGCTAACTGCTAACTACTACAAACTACTACAAACTACTACTAACTACTATTAACTACTATACTAACTACTACTAACTACTAATTACTACTAATTACTACTACTAACTACTAACTACTAACTACTAACTACTACTACTACTCCTACTACTACTCCTACTAACTACTAACTACTAACAACAACAACAACTACTACTACTACGACGACGACTACTACTACTACAACTACAACTACAACAACTACTACTACTACAATAATACTACAACTGCTACTACTTCTACTTCTTCTACTGCCACTGCTGCTACAAGTACGACTACGACTAACAGGACGACGACTACTACTATGACTGCCACTACCATTACTGCTACTGCTACTACTGCTACCAGTATAGTTATAGCTATCAAACAACAATAATGACAACAACAACAACAACAACAACAACTACTACTACTACTACTACTACTGCTACTGCTACCAGTGCTGACTTGTTGTTATGGAGGGGGAGTCAAAAACAACTGTGGGACAGTTTTGTTTCTAGGAGGGGGTAGAGACGAAGCAAGAACATGTGTGTTGACGGGGCTGCAGTTTCAGTGTTACATCGCTGTTGTTTTTGCCGTTGCAGTTGTAGTTGTAGTTGTTGTTGATGTTGTTGCTTGTTGTTGTTACTTGTTGTTGTTCGCGCTCGCGCTGAGGGCGGCTGGTGCTGGAGGCGTCCTTCCCGCTTGAATATGAGAGCTGGATTGATCTGTCATGTGATCATGACAACTGTGATGAATTGAATAAGTGGAGCAGTGGAGCCCTTTGTATTTGACCCGATGGACAACGTTTGGTCCTGCAGGTTCTTCTTTGAATTCTGACCTTCCACTTCAACTTTGCAATCATGATTTGATCCATCTTGATCCGATGCATTCCGGAACTCCTAGCGACAGCAACTCTAGACTGCAGGGTGGCGCTTCCAATTACGACCCGAACTCTTGGCACGGGGGACTGGTAGACACTGGTAGGGCAGGTGTCCCCCAAACTGCGAAATCACACTAATTACAATGGAATGCGAAAGCACGCACTATTAAAAAAGTGGTCGCCTGGTAGATCTATTCATCTACAAGACCAACTATTGGGCCACCATGTAGAAGATGCCATCAGCCTGTTCCTGTTCATGTCAGATGGACAACGGCCTCATTCTTGACAGCGCATCGGCTGGCACCCCATCGGCTGGCCCCACGGCGGCCACGGGATGTCAAAGGTTGGTTTCCAACCCGGTGTTGGGCCAATCCGAGGCTCTCAAACGAACGTGTAGTAAGGTTGAAAAGACCTCGATTGAAGGGGCACACACAGGTAGAAGGCGAAGGATTCTTTCAAGTTCTGTTCATGCAAAAAACCTTGGCCCCTGTGGGCCCTCTAATCAGGCACCAAACCAAACGAGGAGCCAAAGCAAACCCGAATAAGGTGGGTTTGTTGGTGATCCACTTCTAGCAGGAGCTGCAAAGAGCCAGTTGGCCTAGTGACTAGGTTGAATGGATTGGTTCGTAGCTCCGGGAAAGTATGTCTTCCAATGTCTGTTGTCACAAGCTGGAACATGTTGGAGCAGCTCTTGAGCTGCGTGCACTTTGATCTGCGGTGACGCTGCGGCTGCTCAATGGGGACAAATCTGGCATGACATCATACATAATCATATACCATTTGGCCCTCAGCGGCCTCTAAAATAGTCTTGAGAACTTTATCGACCTATTTACAAGGGACAAACCTTAAACTTGCATCTATCGGGCCAAGCACCTTGAGTGCAAAGCAGCAGGGAGGCTGCTTTAACCTGTCGCACCTCATAAACCTTGAGAACTGTCACGGTCTCAAAACTCTAAGGCCATGTTCACCGCCTCTGTTCATACCCTGCAGAATGCACACAAGTTCTCAACGTCCGTTGATCAGAGTTGAACGGTTCAGTGCAAGTCAAGGGTGCCCCACACAACGGCCCCGAGGGATGAACATTACACTGATCCACCGAGCAAAGAAACAAACAGGTATGTTTCTGGTGCTTCTCCCTTTCCAACTCCTCTCCTCTCCTCTCCATTTCTCCAGCCAATCGAGGAAACCCCAAGGCTCCGCATGAAATGCCCGTCGCCGGAGGCTCCGAGGCTCCCGGGCCCACGTGACCAACTCTTGGCGGTTTCGCCGCGAGACCTGGGGCCGTTGGGTAGTGAAGGGAGCTGGTGGATCAACGCCGGACATGACCTGTTGAGAGGGAAATCGACACCCCTCCCAACAAAATCCGATTTGTCAAGTTGAGAGCACCGTGATCCTGAAGTCGAACATGTTCAAATCAAGAGTGAATCCAAGCGGGAGACTGTGAAGCCTATTGGGGGCTATTGTGCGAGGCCATCAACCTGTAGGGACCGCCACGACAGGTGGTTCTTGCAAACTCAGGCGGGGCTATATCTCAAACAATCTCCCTTCACTCAACACATCACCCTTCACTGTGACTCGGTGAGTGGATTGCTCTAGGTTGACTCCATCATCCCAATGAAAAGCCACCACAAATCGATGTCCGCAGCCCTGCCTCTATCATGCCGTCCTCTGCAGCCGCCTAGGGGCGAAGGAGAGCGAACCGCGTGCGGTTTCCGCAGTGGTAAGCGCTGCTCCATGACTTCGGTCCAGCTTATGTTGCTCCATGTTGCCACCGATAGTCACTCTCTGGTGAGTTCAGGAGTCCAGCTTGTGCTCCTTCTCAAATGCACACCATTTCTTAGAGTCCTTTAGAAGTCTATAACAATATCATACAATAACATATCATTGAAAGCGTCAAACACTAGGGCGGAACGGTTTTCTCGGCCAAACTCGGTGCTTGGCATGGCTTGGCACGTCTCTGTGGATCCTCTCCCCCCCTCGAAGTCGCCACAGGACACCGGCTCTCGGTGAACTTCTCGGAGCGAAAACGGATTCCCCGTCCGAAGTCCGGGATGGCGGGCACACCCGGCCCAAGGCACGTCCAGAAGGTCCGAGAAAACCTCGAAAGGCCTCAGTTGGGACGGGGGCTGACAAAATCTGGCAATGGGGGTTCCCTCACGTAACCTGCTTCACTCTGTTCCTGGTCTTTCAGAATTCCGCCACTGTTGGCGACTAAATGGCTCAATCCGCCAAAATGTGGTTTATATATATATATATCTGTGTGTGTGTACTCCATTTTACCTCTATTTAAGATACATCTTGGGGGTCTATGCCATCTACTCTGAAACCAATATAATTAAGTCTCCTTGGAATCCCTTTGAAAGTTCTCAGCTGCCATTCCCGATCTTCTGCGTCGGTCGTCCCAAATCCTGGACATTCGCTCAGACACGTGTCGTAGAGGAAGTCACCATGCCTGCGAATGCGCAGAGGTCTGCGGCGAGAAGTACACTGAGTTCATGAACCAGCTTAGAGGGAAACCACCTATAATTTCATGGCCGTGTGCTTGGCGATGTTCAACTAAACCCTCTTGGACTTCGAACTGAGGACGTATGAGAATACTTTCTCGAAATATCTCAAAATGACCATCTGGCAGTCTGGCCTCTGCTCAATTTCGCTGAGGATCACCTCAGGCATGTCGTGGGTTCGCGCAAACTTCCCGTTGGATCTGTGCAAGAGATGGATGATCCAGTTCACCAGTTCTGCGAAGGATGGGAGTTCACCTCGTCCCTGATTTGGGCATGTAGCACTCCCAAAGACCCGGCGGAAGAAAAGAAATACAGCAAACATCCATTAGGGGTTCTCCCTAGAGATTATAAACGTACCCATTTACATGGGTGTTGATGATGGTCTCTGGGTTGGAACCCTTGCCAGGGAACATCATGATCACCCAACTTGATGTCCGCAGTGCCGCAGGTGACGCTCACATCTTTAGGACAATCATATTGACGTTTCATTCATCAAGCCGCCCAAAAGCAAAGATGTGAAGGACCATCTAGCTACAGGGGTGAATCAATGGCGCCAGCTGTTTGGGGACCAAAGATTTCTGGACACCTCTCGCCCGGAAACACCGATGGCCAGCGGGGGGAAACGGCGGCGACCGTTCGACGTGCGGGGCGGGGTGTCTTCTCGTTCGAAGAACGCGCTTCCAGCACCAGGACGCCGAGGCGGTGATGGGCAACTCGTTCTGGCCTCTCGCACTAAGCTCCTGGGCAGGGCAGCCCCTCCTATATAGAACCCCGCCTACTTGAAGACTCAGCCTTCGCAGCTTGAAGCGGAGGCCGTCCCCAAGAAACCTCTTGGGAACAAGCAGGTATTTAAATATCTATATATACGTACTATACATTGATCGAGCAACCGCCGATAGGCCGGCATTGTTTGAACCTTAGCCAATAAAAACATGCGTCTGGAAGACCAACAAGAACGGTGGGCCTTCCGAAAGAACGATGTGCAACCGGGCTACTATACTCACTGTTCGAGGGCTTTATATAAGAACATGGCTCTGAAAAGAAGAGTCTCGCTCCACGGAACGTCTGACTGGGTGTGCAGCTACTGAGCAACCGGGGTCGACAGAATTCAGGTCAAGATTCCCCTCCCAGCCGCGGAAATTGACCAACCTACTGTATTGGAATAAACAGGTCTTGATCAATCTGGCCCAGTTCTTCCCACTTGCCCCTTGCAACGGCAAGCGCAGCTGCTTTCCGACAACAAACCTCATGGCCCGTGATCATGGGTGCCACCAAGCCAGGCTGAATCAAACACACAATTTTTGGTGCGAAGCGGAAACGCCAAATGTCAAATTAATGTATTTTAATTTATATAGCTGCCGAAGGAGCGCGGTGCTGCTCCTGGAGCAGAGATAAATTCTATACATATATATATAATACTCTACTGTATATAATATCCACAAGACTTTCAAGCCCTGACTAAACTAAACCATGTTGTTGCCCCAACATCGTTGCAAGCAAATGACCAAATTAAACAATTAATCAATCTATAAATGAACTTCAGACTTCACACATGCGAAGTTGCGCGAGCCTGGAGTGCCTCATCGAAAATGCGAAGGCCTCAGTCTACGAGTTTACAGAAAACCATGGAGTTGAGCCTCCATAAAGATCGTTGCGCACAGTTTCCAACAATCATCGACCTGGTGTTTTTCATGATGCAAAAAGTGGAAAATGCACTGAAAAGGGTCAGGACCCCCGGTCAAGTAGCACCGATCCACCTTGTCAAAATACAGAGACAGCCAGCAAGCATGAGAGCAAGTACCCGGCGATGGTTTCTGTGCTCTGCGCAAAAAAAGGAGTTCCGTCCCGATGATGATGGGCTGACGCATGCTGACTCTCCAAACCAGCAACATTCATAGTGCCAGCCGATGCCCACCTTTAACATTGCATATGCATCTTCAGGATTGGGGCATACATTATACCATATTATACCCCATGAAATCCATTGTCGCAGGCTGGTTCTGTGGAAGTCCTTCCGAAAGATAACCATTCCACTGGAACTGCACAGTAGGTCAAGAAACTGCGATGGACTTATTGTTCATATATATATATATATGTCATCCGCTACTGAGAGCGGCCAAGTACCTGCTATGTGGGCCCCCAACACTCTGCCCCAACTATCCCTGCTTTCTGTTGTGCGCATCGGTCGCAACAAGTCCTCCGATTCCACCCCTACACCCCCAAATCACCGCATGATATACACATGATACATGATACTACTCATGATACATCATGATACTATACTGAGCTTCCCAGCTCTCCGAGCGACTGTAGCAGGCACGAGCCAGTCGCTCACGGCCCGCTAAATCGGCCGCGCGGGGCGCGCGGGGAGGTCCTGAGGTGGATGGAATTCAGCGTGGCGAACGTGCCAAAAAGAGAACGGAACGTCCTTTGGAAAGCTAAATTCACCACACCAAATGGATGCTCGGAGAGCCACCCTTCTTGCAAAAGGTAGGATCTGAGACCCCAGGAGGCAGAAAAGTTGGTCCAACTTCGTTGAAATGCAGGATCCAACCTGGTAACACCGACCGGTGGCTGATTCGGATTTCATGTGTTTTGATGCTTTTGTGGGGAAGCTCCTGAAGTAAATTGGATGCCGCTTACAGATCCTCCTCCATCGCATGAGCCCCTCAGCCCCGCCCAGGGATTTGTGGCATCTCAATGAAACCGTTTGATCAGAAGATCTGTAGCCAGTGGACTGGTAGAACTGAAAATGAGTGTTGTATATATAATTAAGGCGGCTCGTTGAGGCCTGAAAGCAGAAGCAATGCAATGTCTGATTGTGGAAAACCTAGAACATGTTTTGTTAATCCATTCCATGGGGGGTGAACCCGCTGTACGAACCACTTCGGGAGGGAGTGGAGGCGCCGTTGACCCGCGGACCCGCGTGCGTGCATCCAAATCGGGTGGGTGAAATTTAATGGTCAATTGAGTCTACATTACAACACCTTCCGTTTCCCCATCCGTTTTCCACAGCATCTGCCAACATGGAGAAACCATGAGAAACCGAAAGGCATACCCCAATTAAAATTGTATAACACCCGCCAAATATTGATTGTCAGTCTTAGATGACAAGAAATTGATGAATTCCAGGAGTCAAAACCCCTGGTGCAGCAGCCACCTTATTGGGAGCACAAAATCTGAAAGATGATCAAATCCGTCGATGATAGCGATAGCTTCTTTTGAGATGATTGCACGTGCCTTGCTACTGTTCTCAGGCGCATATCCTCAGAAGCCTTGTGCCACGCGCACAGGCTCTGAAACCGCAGCCATCTGTGGCACGTCTGTGCAAGTTTTGGTAAGGCCAGGCTTGATGAACCAACCAGTCTCAACCGCTGCCGGCTGACATCATAGTATCCCTAGCAAGGTGCTAATCGAATAAATATATATATATAACATTAAACTACTACACTCATCTGTCCATACGGAGCCGATAGAGTACTGCACTATTTCATCATAATATGGCCGAAAAAGAACTGACGCTTGTAGATCCATCCATCGTGAGAAAAGTAAGCATCACATGTCTGGTCAGTCAGGTCTTATCTGGTAGGTTTGCCCCGAATGTCGCCAGGGAGGAGCTGCTCCTCCGCCCTGGTGCAAAAGCTGTGGCGAATTACTGCCCCCCCCCGGCCCCACGCGGTCTCCGCCGCGTGCGACCCGATCCCTTCAGGATCGGCTCGACCGACCGAAGGGAGATGGGGTGCGACATGCTGCGACTCTGTTGGTCCCAAGTACCGCGTGGCCATCGATAGAGCCCAAATCTTGAAGCGCAAACATGTTCTTTCCAACTTAGCCAAATAAATTACCAGGACCTCCCCCCCCGAAATGAGTCCCTTTTAAAGACATTGAAAGCCATTGAAAGCTATACCTCACCTTCATCCACCTTCATCCGGCCCAGCGGTGCCTACATCGCCGCGATCCAGGAGACTGAGTCACGACCACTTTGCAGTTGATGCACCGAGACTTCGCTGTTCAAGAGCAGGTGATCCGGCGCAGGTTCGCTGGAGAAACCATTGATGCGAGGCAGAATCTCCTCTAAACTTCGAGCTGCCTCGGTCTAGTCAAGGCGAGCCTGCTGGAGTCGTGATCTCGGTCTGGGATAATAGAATGGGCCGTCATCAAAAACATATTCTACAGTATATCTAAACATATCTAAACGCATCAAAAAGACAGAAACGGGATCGCACACTGACATTTCCATCGCACTTTCGTAGCAGGCACGGCATTTTGTGAACCTGTGATATATAAATTTAGCGTGCAGATTTTGTGGCACTTCGGGCAGCGCTTCGTTGACCTCGATGCGCAGATTTCGCAGCAGGCGCAACTTTGTGCAGAGTTTGCGTCAAACAACATTTCTGTGTGTTCATTTGGAAAGTCTTGCTGACGTGATGGCAGCACGCGGACGGATTGAATTCATTTTCTGCTCGCCTGATGGTAGAGTACACTTGCAAAATGCTCAAGAAACTGCAATGAAATCCTGGGATCTGCCAAAAACTGACCAGCCCCAGCTGCACTGCATCAAAAGTTCCTTCGACACTGCCATGTAGACCCAACCACCAGGCGACTGGCGTTCGAGCGCCGCTGTCAAAAAGGGGTGCCTCAGCCATTTTTCGACCGGAAAACACCTGCATGAATTTTTCAGAAAATCAAACACAACACATGTGCATCACAGTGGGTGCAGGCTGTGGGAACCCACGCCACGTTCAGCCTCGCCCAGCGGCTGGTTGAAGCACTTAAAGCCCCCAAGTTAGGACCTAAGTGTCACGCTGCTCCCGGACCGCCGTGGCTGGGTGAAGGCGAGCAGAAAAACGTATCAAAACCAAAATGTTTGCATTTTGCTTGGCAAAGTTTGGCAAGGAAGTCATGCGCCTTGTGTCCACCAAGTCCAGCCAGAGTCTTCCGCCAGGCGCCTCCCACCAGGTGGTTTCCAGTAACAGCGGTCACCCGGACATGTCCTTCCACCACCCAGTGAAGAGGAGCCTGGAAGGAGAAAAGGCCCAGCGCTTCAACGGACACGCTTGTGACAAGACTTTCTGACCCTTTTTTGGGCCTTTCCGCTGGGCTTGCCCCGCGACGGTGCATCCGCAGGGTTGTGCTCTGTTGGCACATATACCAAGCGCAGCAGGCTGTTTGTCGCCAGAAGAAGTGCACGGAGGTGGCGCATGACACCTCTGATGGCAGGAGCTGATGTTCTGCCCTTGCTACAGTGATGGGCCCCTCAAGTTAACATAGGTTATAAGTTTACTAACATATGTTATAAGCTAGTGTAACCTATGTTATAACATGCCTTAACTTGGCTAACTTCTGATAGGTCCTTATAGAGTTATAACTAAGATATAAATATTTATGGAACTTGTAAGTTAGTTAGCCTGGTATGGCCCCAGAACTTACAAACAAGTTACAGAACTTACAAAATTTGTTATTGTTTTTAAAGGCTTTAACAAACCATTGAACACATTTGGAAAAATCAATGTTTTTTAGTTTTCGATCAGTTTTTTAGACAAAAATCATTTGGATTTTAGTTAATCGACTCCAGGCTGGTAGTGCGTATTACATCTTCAAACGCTGTATTGCGCATTGCTATGTACACACATCATGGCATTGCCCTTTTGCAGTATCATATACTGTTTATACGTGTAACAGTTTTCATGTTTCCTTTCGGTTGCTGTTTGTGCATTGTGGATGTGTTCCCTGAATCAGTCGCAGTTGTGGCGGTGGTCCCGCTGCACATATTCCTGCTCCGTTCGTTTTCGCTCGCGGGGTCTTCGTGGATGCTCAATGTATATAGGTGTGATTTTCGCGCCGGTACTTTGCCGCGAAGTAAGTAAGATGACGGGCGCTGCTGATGCCAACAAAGGTCACCCCCACCAGCCCGCAAAGAGTGGGCGCCTGGCAATGCAGGATTGGTGCTCCTTCCCGCTTTACATCAACAAGAAGACGTGGACGTCAGTTTTGGAGGCTCCTGGGTCCCTGGTTGCCTTAGATGTGGTGCTTCGCCACCTTGTGCAATTGGGCTTGCGAAGTCCATCAGAGCAAACTCAGGCCATGCTGGCCGCACTTTGTGTTCTGCGGGATTTGAGGGATGACTCAAGCAGTTCCAAGCAGATCCCCGATGCGATGAAGCTCAGATCCATCTTCCTGAACGTGAAAGCTCGGGTCCATACATCTATGTTCAAAGCGAAACAGGATGGCGATCAGATGTTGCCTCATGGACACCTAGTTGCACTACCTGCAAATCCAAAGGACGCGCCAGCTGGACTTCTCTCGTTGGCCTTTCCAGACGGCTACGAGAGCGAGTCAGACTCAGCGCCGTTCTCTCTCATGGACCTTGCCAACGTTGCCAGGGAGATCTCTCTACGCTCGACCAACAGCAAGGTGGTGAATAACAAGGGTCCTCAACTGCATTCCCCGGAGGCGTTCTGGGCATCTATGCAGTCTGCGTGGATGATGATGATGATGCAGCAGTGGGGCAAGCCACCTTCAGAGGAGTGCAGGCTGACCATGACTAGGCAACCAGGTAAAGCTTTGGGCGCCTTGCTTGACAGAGCTGAGGGCAAGGGTACTACTCAGCAACCCCAGCTTGCTCTTCCAGCACCACCGTTGCCAGCAAGCAAGGACGTGTTGCCAGAGAAGCCGCCTGCGTCAGCAGATCCACCCCTCCCTTGTCCTGCGCTTTGTGACCGACCGTCTTCGCAGCCTTTAGAGAGCGTGCCAACCTCGGAAGCCTTGCCTTCGAAGCCTTCTTGCGCGCCGGAGGGCTTGCCAACCTCGCAGGTGCAGGACGAGAAGGTGAATGACTTGGCTCCACACAATCGTGGCATCTCTCTTGCTGAGAGCGTGGAAAAAATGAAGGAAGCAAGGGTGAAGTTGAAGGAAGGCTCAAACCAGTCACATGGTCCTGTGATGAAGAAGCCAGCCAAAGGACCTTCCAACCCCAAGTCCAAGTCTTTGGGCAGCCTGGCTTCCAAGTGTGCCACGCAGCCACCAAAAAAGCCGAAGCAAGGCTTTGGACAGGGAGTCATGAAGAGACCGAGCATTGCAAAGGCTGCTTCCAACCACAAGGCCAAGAATGACGAGAGGAAAAGGCTGAGGGAAGAGATCATTGCCAAGCTGGACGTGCCCACCAGGAAGAAGTTCAAGGACGGGTGTGCAAAGTGCCGCTGGCACAAACTATGCACTTTGTCTTGTTGGCAGTACCGTGGGTACTGATCTAGTCTTGGATTTTGGATCTTATTGCCTAAGCTGGGCCCTGGCAATGGATCCCGGGTGAAACCATCCGTAGAACGTCGCCAAGAAAAGTCATCGCGGCACAGAATCGACTATGCTTGTGGAGGAGTCATTGTTTCGTGATTTCAACTCTTGATCGGTTCGTTTAAGCCCCATAAGATATAAACAGAACTGGTAAAACCCATAGATGCGGTCGCCCGCACCTAGCAAAGGTTGCCACAAGTTGAAAGAGCTTATATATATATATAGTTCATAGACGCGGTCGCCCGCGCCCCAAACCTTTTTTTGTGTGACCACTTAATTTCATATATATAGCTGGTTCCAAGTTGGGTGTTTGAATCCAGTTTTTTGCACCGCTTGTGAATCCCAAGTTGCGCTCACTGTACCTACGTTTTTGGGCGCGCTCGTGGAAGCTGGGCGCTCTCAAGCCATGGAGACCTGCGCAAATATGACCCTCGCCGAATACACATTGATGTGCCGTGATGCTGGGATGAGGGTGTCTGGGTGAGAAATAGAAACTTTCCAAAAACTTTTGGATGGGCGGCGATGGGTCTTTGCGGTTCAGAAGTATAGCTCACCTTCCTTTATATGTATGCTCTGTTGTGACCCCCGAAAGGAATAATGTGCATCACATAATCAATTAAGGAATCTGTCATGGACGACGATGCTCCCACGTCAGTAGCGCTCTCCGATGAAGAGGACGCAATGTCGCCAGCATCCCTTTCAGAAGTGAACCCTTTGGAGGCTATGCTGGGAGACGATTGGCATGGGCGAATTCAGAAGGACCTTGAGCTGAAGGCCCAAAGCCAGAAGGATGTTGAGCTGAAGGCCCAAAGCAAGGAGAACGATGCTGAGCTGAAGGCTCAAAGCAATGAGCAGGTTGTTGATCAGAACGCCCAAAGCAAGGTAACGCCACCATGGAGGTCAATGACAAGCGAAGTGCCCTCTCAAGCTGATGTTTGCGAAGTGCCGCCATGGGGCCAAGCGAGACGGCGCGCCAAAAGGGCTAGAGAGCAGGACGAGCCAGCTGAGGAGCAGGCGCCCTTCACCAAGGAAGTTGAGGAACCAGCTGAGGAGCAGGCGCCTGAGCCGAAGCAGGAAGTGGAGGAGCAACGTGTCCCTGCCGGCGCTGCTTTCCTAGGCTTGTGGCCAAAGCGGATGGCAAAGCCGTCAAGACCTGCAAAGATGGATGTGGATGGCCACACAGGGTTGCATGCTAAAAGCATGGCAAGGCCAAAGGAGCAAATCGTCCATGATGATCAGCTGGCCAACTTTCGAGAGGACATGAAGCAGCTGGCCGAAGAGCTCGGCTGGTCTAGGAGGGCTCTAGAGCAGTTCTGCGGAATGGAGAAACGCAAACGCGGCAAGAATTCCCGACCATGGCAACAGTGTGACTGAGAAAAAGCGTGTAGCCAGTCATTGCACTTGCTGCGGTAGCCCGCAGAGCTGTTTCAGTTTAAGATACTCCATAATAGAGGTTCATATAAAGCCCAACACAGAGTCCATTCTAGTAATTTATTAAGATTCTTTCAGAGACGCATCTCTGTTTGTCATCAAGAGTGTAACTCTGTTAGCTTCAATGCTGGGTTTTTCAGCTTTGTCATCAAGATGGTAACTCTTTTTTATCTTCTGCAAATAGTTTCAGCTGGTTGTATGTTTTGGTCACTTCGTCTGTGCTGTGCTCGCTCCAGGGCAAACCGCTGACAGTTTGTTGAGGCCCCACGGCGTCGCCGTTTTGCTGGCGCCATGTACCGCTATGGCCGTGTGGCACCGCAAGATTGGCAAAATTTCCCAGAAGCCACCTTCGAGGACGGAAATATGTGTGATTGGATTGGCCCCTTACCCAAAGGTCAGGTGCTCCGCCTTCGATTCGGGGCAACAACGATGCTTGGACATGTGCTTGTGTGTTTTGCTTTGGTTGGTGTGGGCTGTTGTAGGCTGGAGCCAAGTATATTTTGTCATTGCACCAGGGTCACCTGCAATGCTTTTGTTGTCATTATCCCTAATAGTGTATACATGCAAGTGTCCATTGTTTCCAAGGTGGCCTGAGAGGCTGTTTGTTGGTACAACAGCGGGCTTCCCAGGCCACCTTCTGAAATTGTCGATTTTAATCCAAGGATCCATTTGAACTTGCAGTCTCTTGGTGGATCTTCTTCTCCAGCACACCTGGTGGTGAATCACTACCAGAAGCACCGGGTCTTTGTGACCAAGGGCGGCGCTACTATCCTTGTCTCACTGCCACCTGAGAACTATGGTTTTCACGATCAGGTGATTCAGAGGGTTCTGATCCTGAGGAAAGTCGAGAATGAGCTCGAGGTTGACACTATGACTGGGGAAGTGCTCGGGCGCTGCGCCTTCGATTTCTCCAGCTCAATGATGGACGCAATTACATCAGCCACTAGATTACATGATTTGACGTGTCCTCAACATGATCAGAGACTCTTACGTTTCTGTGTCGGTGAGACATTTGTTGGGTGCAACTCATGGCGTACCCGTTCGGATTCCTTCTTCAATCAACCCCAGGAGCTTACCAGGGTCAATAACATGTTGGCCACACAGAAGGAGCGCAGCAAAAGCCTCAAAGAGCAAGAGAAAAGACTTGATGAGCAAGAGAAGATGGTCCAGGCCCAGGAGTTGGAAAATGAAGGGAGCAGGCAATGCCAGGTGGCTGTGATGAAGAAGTTGCCAAGTGCGGCATCGACACCGAGAAAGAAACCATCGAGTGCCAAGGTGGCTGCAGACAAGAAGCCGCGTGCATGTGTAAAGAAAGCGCCCCAGAAGAAGCCGTCAAAGAAGTGATCGCCAACAATGGACCAGAAACTGTCTTCAAAAGAAGTTGCCTGTCGCAGTCATGTATGTTGGGTTCTGTGATGAGCGCGGTAGCCCGTGCAAGTCATGTTTTTGTTTGTTGACGGTCTGTTTGGACTTAGGCTACAG